CCCTAAACCCAAAGCCCCCGACCCTAAAACCCCCTAAGCCCGCCTAATCCCTGAACCCCGAGCCCGAAACCCCAAGCCCTGAACCCTAAACCCGACGCCCTAAACCCAAAGCCCTAATCTCTAAACTCTAAACTTAAACCCCAAATCCCAGAGCCCCAAACCCAAATAGCCAGAAATCCTGCACTTAGGCCTAAACCCTAAACCCCGAAACCCTAAGCTCAAAACCTCCAAACCCAGACTCGAGCCTCTCAGCATGGCCCCCTGTTGGAGTCGCCATTATCTCACCATCTCTCCTTAAGCCGCCCAGTGGGTGAGTTGAGGGTTTACCTAAACACCCAAAAGTAGGTAAAAGAGTGGTCCAAGGACCCTATAGACAGGGGCTATTATTCCACAATTCCACAAGATTTTGGGTCCGGATAGGGTTGAGTGGCTTACTCTTTCCGGACTGTTGCGGGTCTTATGGAGGTGTGGGCGAGTGGCTTTGTAGCCTCCGGACTTTCGATATGATTCTGGGGCCTGGGGTCTTATGGACGTTCGACCCTCTCGGAAAACGACAAAAGATCTACGGTTTAGGGTTTAGGGGGTCTTACAGTAAGGCTTTGGAGACTCGTGCACCGGAGCCGAGAGAACGTTGCTCCCTGAATGACAGGCTTCTTTCCCTTGCCATCGGTGCTTCTCCCATGCACCAGCACTCCAGACATTATCGCGACGATCCCTCGAGCTGGTTCCTCGCTCATCCTGCTGCCAGTCGTTCTGCTGTCCATCATGGGATTCCCAGTTCTGCCATGGATCACTGTGCCAGTTGTCCGAATCGTTTCGTCTTTCCCAGCTGCCCATGCTCTCTTCGCCAGCGTGGCTTTGCCAGGCATCCTCCGACCACGCAGCGTTTCCGTCACCCCCTTCCTTACTTGGAGGATCATGGGACTTAGTAAGTAAGGTTATAAGTCCCTTAATTGGGGTTATAAGTATAGTACCCTAATTATAGCCCTACTTACTAAGTCCCATGATGCTTTAAGTACTTGTTCATGGAATGAGGTGAAATGAGTGTTGACCTGGGGTGGAGCTGGACTGCAGAAACTAATTAAAGGTCATCTTTAGTGGGCTTCAAAGACCCTTGGACAGTCTTAGTATATAGGTTCCCTATAAAACTCTTTTGTAAAAACACACATCCAAACAGAACCCAAATATACAGACAAAGGAGCTCCTTTCCATTTCCATCCGCCGTGCTGCCATCGCCGATTTTCCCACCAGTTGCCACTCTCAGCATGGCCTGCAGGGTAGGAGTTAGGATCTGGGGGACCCTTGAGGATATAGACCTTTTCAAGTAGGTCCGATTTAAGAGAGCCACGAGTAGGGTTAAGAAGGGTCCCCTTTAAGGGGTCTCCCTAATACTACCTTGGACAGGGTTCCATGAGGAGCGTTTTAACAGGAAGCCTTCCACGGCCATTGTTAACAACAGTCACGTAAGGGCCAAACCATGAAGTCCCAAGCGGTAAATCCTAAGCCTTAAGGTATGTTTGAAGTTGGTTCGGTTAGAATGGTTCGAACTTGTGTAGGGGCTGTAGAGATCTCATGCTCTCTACGCGAGCCCTAACAAACCAAAGCTTGTGAGTAAACTGTAAAGTCCCACAGATACTAAGCCCTGAAGCCCTCAAACCTCAGTTTCAAACCCTATATTCAGGCCTTGATAATTAGAATCAGGTTTTGGGGGCTCTGTATTGTAATTAAAGCAAAATGGACCCCAAAACCGTATTCTAATTACCTATCTACCTGCATCCGGTCCGCTTTCTGTTCTCGCGCCCTCCAGTGGCGCAGTGCTCGGCGCCGTCTCAGCCTTCCGTTTGCAGTGGGTCTGTGTTCACGGCAGCGTTTTCGTTTTAGGGTTTATAGGGTTTAGGGTTTATAAGTTAAGGGTTTAGGGTTTAGGGTTGGGAGTAGTTAGGATGTAGGGCCAGGAAGCCAGGAGTCAAGAGTCAAGAGTGTAGAGCCGATCTGGGCAGTATAGTGATTCTGAGAGCTAGGATTTCGGCTAGAGGATTCGGGAAGCTGCTACAAGTTGCCGGTCGAAGCAAACAAGGCTTGCGGTCTGGAAGGTTCCACCTTCGAAACCCGAAGCCCCCTCCAGTTTCCGAGTTTTGATCTTCGACTTTCCTGCGCCCTGAGCCCCAAAGGCCCCCCAAAACGTGCTGAACTAAACCCTAGACCCTAAACCCTGAAACCCTAGACCAAACCCCCCAACCACCCGAAGGCTCTCACTTCCCTCCCACATCCATGGCAAAACCCATGCGGCACACTGAGAAACCCTGAACAAAATCATAGAAAAAATCAATCCCTCTCTCACCCTACCAAAACCTTCCTTCTTTATATAAGTCCTCTAAGAAAAAAATCGTTTCTTTGGGGTCCGGGTAACCCCGGCTCCCCACCCCCACTTCCCCAATCTTAAGGTTTAGGGTTTAGGGTGTTAAGGATTTTAGGGCTTTCAAGGTTTTAGGATGTAGGGCTTAGGGTTTTAAGGGTTTTTAAAGCTTTTAAGGTTTAGGGTTTTAGGGTTTTGGGTTCCTCAACCCCAAACCCCAAACTTACAAAAAACCCTACGTCCGCTACCCTTATAACCCCCAACCTACAGGGGAAGCCCAGAAAGTTGGAACAAGGATTTAGGTTTAGGGTTTAGGGTTTAGGGTTACTGCTAGGATCTCCTATTCCTTTACCTCAAGGGCACCAGGACAATGTTCCAACTTTCTGGCTTCTACCTTTAGCTATAGAACTATCCACCCCCAACCTACTCTAAACCCTAAACCCTGAACCCCTAAACCCCTAAACCCCTAAACCCTAAAATCCTAAACCCTAAACCCTACAACCCTAATCCCCTAAACCCTAAAACCCTAAACCCCTAAACCCTAAACCCCTAAACCCTAAACCCCAAACCCTTAGCCTGCTTTTGGGTCCCAGGGGTACTCGGACGATCCCAGGGCGGCGGATCGTCGGAGGAGGGCTCCCAAGGCGCAGGAGGATCTCTCCTCCGTCGTTTGGGGAAAAGGGTTTAGGGTTTAGGG